CTGTACTCACCCTCCGCTCCCACAGAACCTCCCTATCTCTGTACTCGCCCTCCGCTCCCACAGAACCTCCCTACCTCTGTACTTAACATCCGCTCCCACAGAACCTCCCTACCTCTGTACTCGCCCTCCGCTCCCACAGAACCTCCCTACCTCTGTACTCACCATCCGCTCCCACAGAACCCCCCTACCTCTGTACTCTCCATCCGCTCCCACTGAACCCCCCTACCTCTGTACTCGCCCTCCGCTCCCAGAGAACCCCCTACCTCTGTACTCGCCCTCCGCTCCCAGAGAACCCCCCTACCTCTGTACTCGCCCTCCGCTCCCACAGAACCTCCCTACCTCTGTACTCACTGTGGGACAGGGAAGGAACAGATATCTGCGGGTGCAGTATGCAGTGTGTTTAGGGACGGGGCATCTCCTCCTGTAGCCTAATGCATGGAAGCCGATGCCCCAGGGGTGATCACCGGCCAGTGGGGAAGAGGCGGAGCGGTGAGTAAGTGCGCTTGGTGCTCTGTTTGGGAAGATAGACCTGAAACGGGTTGCTGACAGCTGTGTTTTGCAAAGCTAGCTAACCATATGAGGAGGGGGAGGGGGGATGTGCAAAGGTGAGCTGCAGTCAGGTGTTGCAGGGGTAAATTGAGTCAGGTGAGTTACACACAGGGTGCAGAGGTGAGCTGTGGCTGGGGGGGGGGTGCAGAAGTGAGCTGAGTTTGCAACCCACCTTTGCACCCCCTGGCTACAGCTCAGCTCCCCCTGGACACAGCTCACCTCTGCACCCCCTGGCCACAGATCAGCTCTGCACCCCCTGGACACAGCTCACCTCTGCACCCCCTGGCCACAGATCAGCTCTGCACCCCCTGGACACAGCTCACCTCTGCACCCCCTGGCCACAGATCAGCTCTGCACCCCCTGGCCACAGATCAGCTCTGCACCCCCTGACCAAAGCTCACCTCGGCACCCCCTGGACACAGCTCAGCTCTGCACCCCCTGGCCACAAATCAGCTCTGCACCCCCTGGACACAGCTCACCTCTGCACCCCCTGGTCACAGCTCACCTCTGCACCCCTGGTCACAGCTCACTTCTGCACCCCCTGGCCACAGCTCACCTCTGCACCCCCTGGCCACAGCTCACCTCGGCACCCCCTGGACACAGCTCACCGCTGCACCCCCTGGCCACAGATCAGCTCTGCACCCCCTGGACACAGCTCACCTCTGCACCCAGTGGTCACAGCTCAGCTCTTCACCCCCTGGACACAGCTCACCTCTGCACCCCCTGGACACAGCTCACCTTTGCACCCCCCGGCCACATATCAGCTCTGCACCCCTGGACACAGCTCACCTCTGCATGCCCTGGTCACAGCTCACCTCTGCACCCCCTGGTCACAGCTCACCTCTGCACCCCCTGGCCACAGATCAGCTCTGCACCCCCTGGCCACAGATCAGCTCTGCACCCCCTGGACACAGCTCACCTCTGCACCCCGTGGTCACAGCTCAGCTCTTCACCCCCTGGACACAGCTCACCTCTGCACCCCCTGGACACAGCTCACCTCTGCACGCCCTGATCACAGCTCACCTCTGCACCCCCTGGTCACAGCTCACCTCGGCACGCCCTGATCACAGCTCACCTCTGCACCCCCTGGTCACAGCTCACCTCTGCACCCCCTGGACACAGCTCACCTCTGCACCCCCTGGTCACAGCTCACCTTGGCACCCCCTGGCCACAGCTCACCTCTGCACCCCCCTGGCCACAGCTCACCTCTGCACCCCCTGGTCACAGCTCACCTCTGCACCCCCTGGACACAGATCAGCTCTGCACCCCCTGGACACAGATCAGCTCTGCACTCCCTGGCCACAGCTCACCTCAGCACCCCCTGGACACAGCTCACCTCTGCACCCCTTGGCCAAAGCTCAGCTCTGCACCCCCTGGACACAGCTCAGCTCTGCACCCCCTGGCCACAGCTCACCTCTGCACCCCCTGGTCACAGCTCACCTCTGCACCCCCTGGTCACAGCTCAGCTCTGCACCCCCTGGTCACAGCTCAGCTCTGCACCCCCTGGTCACAGCTCCGCTCTGCACCCCCTGGACACAGCTCACCTCTGCACCCCTTGGCCAAAGCTCAGCTCTGCACCCCCTGGACACAGCTCAGCTCTGCACCCCCTGGCCACAGCTCACCTCTGCACCCCCTGGTCACAGCTCACCTCTGCACCCCCTGGTCACAGCTCAGCTCTGCACCCCCTGGTCACAGCTCAGCTCTGCACCCCCTGGCCACAGCTCAGCTCTGCACCCCATGTCTGCAACTCACCCCTGCACCCTGTCTGTGGCTCATCTCGGCACCCTGTCTGAAACTCACCTGTCAAGTCTCCCCTGCAACACCTGACTGCAGCTCACAACTGTCAGCAGCCGGCCCTCTCCATAGTAACCCTCATCCACAACTGTCTGCAGCTCACCTCTGCACCCCCTGTCCACACCTGGACATTTAAAAAATAAGACCTACCCCAAAAATAAGACCTAGCGTGTTTTTTTGAGCTAAAAAAAATATAAGACAGTGCCTTATTTTTGGGGAAACACGGTACTAGCCCCTTCCTTTCTCTAATGAACACAATGAGTGATCTGTACTGATCACTCACTGTGTTCATTCATTCCTGAAGCATAGTAAACTGTTTGTTTTTTTTTATTTGGTGGGGGGCTGTCAGGTAGACTGTATGGGGCCCCGTGGTTTCCAACAGCAGCCCTGTCCATATTCTATTTAACAAGAAAAACAAAAGTGCCAGGTGCATGTGCATTTTCAACATATCAAATATATATATATATATGCTAAGAAAGTGTTGTGAACACCCCCCCCCCCCCCCCCACACACACACACACACACACACCTGTATGCTACAGAGAAGGATCCTTGCTCTTGGTGCGGAAGCAGTGGTCTCTCTGCAGTGGTCTGTCATGTCCCCATGCTAAGAGAGTATCATAAAAAAACCACACCCCACCACCACCACCACCTGCATGCTACAGAGAAGGATCCTTGCTCTTGGTGTGGAAGCAGTGGTCTCTCTGCAGAGGTCTGTCATGCCCCCATGCTAAGAGAGTGTCATGAACACCCCCCACCACCACCACCACCACCTGCATGCTACAGAGAAGGATCCTTGCTCTAGGTGCGGAAGCAGTGGTCTCTCTGCAGAGGTCTGTCATGCCCCCATGCTAAGAGAGTGTCATGAACACCCCCCACCAACACCACCACCTGCATGCTACAGAGAAGGATCCTTGCTCTAGGTGCGGAAGCAGTGGTCTCTCTGCAGAGGTCTGTCATGCCCCCATGCTAAGAGAGTGTCATGAACACCCCCCACCACCATCACATCACCTGCATGCTACAGAGAAGGGCCCTTGCTCTTTGTGCGGAAGCAGTGGTCTCTCTGCAGAGGTCTGTCATTCCCCCATGCTAAGAGAGAGCGCTAGAGCTCTATACTTTGTTCTATAGATATGACTCAGAAGGGGGTGTGCCGGACCTCTGTACAGAGACCACAGATTCCATCCCAGAAAGCAATGGTCTTTTTCTGCAGCATGCTGGCAGTGAACAGGCTTTTCTACTCAGGCTGTGGCCACTTTCTGAAGACAAACAACTGTAAGACATTGAACTCCTTTTGTTTTTTGATGCAAATGGAATAGATTTCGCTGATTTAAACAGATTTAGCAAGTTCAGTGGGGCTATAGGCTTTTTTTTTTTTTTTTAATTAAGCAGGATTTTCCTCCAATCCTTTTTCCATGTACCTTACCTTCATTGTCAGCCAAGGCTATAGATATACAGGCAAAATTTGAAGAGCAGGATACCATCTGACCAGTGCAAGTGGAATCTGGGCCCAAACAATCCATGCAGTGGAGGGCATATCCTGCAAGGAGAGAAGATGCATTGGTACTGACATGCAGACGGTTAACCCTTTCATGATCAGAGGTCTTTGAAGCCTTAATGTCCAGAGCAAATTTAGCCGCATCCGTTTAATTGTAACTGACCTCCTCCGTTTTTCAAGCGTTTAGGAGCAGAATAAAAAAAATTTTTGTAGAGTTTTTAGGAGTATTTGTCCAGCAGAAAAAAAAAATGCTATACGCTCCTAAATGCTTCTAAACGCTACTAAATGCTATTAAAACACTACTAACAGCTTTTATCTAGATTTTTTTCCCTACATATACTGTAAAAAATGCTTATAAAATGCTAACGTGCATAAATGCTATAAAAAAAACCTATTAAAAATACTACTATTACTAGCATTTTTTATCCAGTGTTTTTTGAGCTTAAAAAATGCTAGTGTGCATGGAGCTTTCTAGTACATGTAGAAAAAAAAGCTGTTTCTAGACGTTAAATCTCAAAAAATGCTAACATTATTATTTATTACAGGTACTTATATATTGCCATCAATTTACACATATATATTGTACATTCACATCAGTCCCTAACCCTCAAGGGGTGTACAATCTAAGGTCCCTAACCCTCAAGGGGCTTACAATCTAAGGTCCCTAACTCACATTCATACATACACATACTAGGGCCAATTTAGACAGGAGCCAATTAACCTATCAGCATGTCTTTGGAGTGTGAGAGGAAACTGGAGTACCCGGAGGAAACCCACACAGGCACAGGGAGAACATGCAAACTCCAGGCAGGTGGGGCTGTGGTTGGGATTCGAACCAACGATCCTAGTACTGCCAGGCGAAGTACTAACCATTGAGCCACTGTGCTGCCCGAATAGCCTAAGTCTACGTTCACACCTATGCAGGTTGCATTTGCGGCGTTTCTGTTTTGCGTTTTTGCTGTGTTTTGCTTTTTTTTTTTCTGTTTTTTTTCTCCTTCTAGGCAGATTTTAAACGCAGCAAAAACGCAACACATGCTTTTCTGCAGGGATCCCATTGAAGTCTATAGAACCAAAAACGCACCATTTTGAGTAAAAAAAAAAGTCCCTGACCCTTTCCAAAAAACGCACCGGGTGAAAACGCGGAAGGAAATGTGAACCTGTCCCCAGGGGCGGACTGACAATTTGGGAACTCGGGCACCGCCCGAGGGCCCGGGGTCAGTAGGGGGCCCCATGAGATGCCCCTGGTACCTTTTTCATAGGCTTGTTTTGAGTTTTGGCAAGGATACAGGGGCCCCGTGATCCCCTATTGCCCGGGGGCCCCATGAGTTGTCAGTCCGCCCCTGCCTGTCCCATAGGAAATCATGTTAAATGGACTGTAGTGCGTTTCTGCAAAATGTGGCAGAAAACGCTTAGGTGTGAACCGAGGATCAAGTGGTGTGCATGGACCCATAGGATAACACTAGCTTCTAGGAGCTTGCAAAAATGCTAGTGTGCATGGAGCCTAAAATTAAAAAAAAATGAAAACAATAAAAAGTTTTGTAAAACATAAAATATGTCAAAAAAAACACATAAAAATGAACAGAGATTGCACTTTTGGTGCATTTCTTTAGTTCATATTTCACTGGGAGTCAGGCAACCAGAAAACTGTATACACATCCATATGCATTTATGCAATTTTAAGGTGTTTTTTTTATTTGTTTGGTTTTTTGTTTGTTTTTTTCCAATGGAGCAATATGAAAGCAGCCTAAAAATGTTTGCTCTGCAATCAAAAGATTGAATATTAAGGGGGGAAAAAAAAGATTAGAGGAAGAATTCTTTAAATGAAATAACATATGTACAATGTCTACAATTTTCTATGAAATACACTGATGAATGTGTAAATGTGAATTTGTTAAAAAAAACGGACTCACCTGGTGCCACAAGACCTGCAATGAGGTACAGGACAGCAAAGAATGAATTCATGGTGATAGATAACAGGCAAGGGATGCCCCAGAAATGATGCAGGCTCGTTTATACAAAGGTGATGATAGGAATCAACCTATGTCTGTAGCCCCTGGCCTCGGTTTTTTTCACCCTCAAGCCTGAGAGAAATAAAGCTTCGGATGCCGAAATGCGCAAGCTTAACGGTTATATAGTACTCAGTAGGCGTTGCTTCATTTTAAGATGACCAATGAAACATCCCATGCAATATAGTTACGTGAAGAACAGAAACTGCAAATAGTTGAGGGATACCATATAAGGTAGTTCCGTTTCATCATAGTTACATAGTTAGTCTGGCTGAAAAAAAGACAAAAGTCAATCCAGTTCAACCACAGAAAAAAAAAAAAAAGTTATAATCCTACACCCACAGTTGATGCAGAGGAAGGCAAAGAAACCCAGCAAAGCATGATCCAATTTGCACCTGCTGGGAAAAAAAATTCCTTCCTTATCCCCCGAGAGGCAATCGGATATTCCCTGGATCAACTTTACCTATAAATGTTATATCCAGTTATATTCTGTGTATCCAAGAAAGAATCCAGGACTTTCCTACAGCAATCCACTGAGCTGGCCACAACCAACTCTTGAGGGAGTCTATTCCACATTTTCACAGCTCCCCTTTATGTATTATACGTGGAGATCATATCCCCCCCTTATGGAGATTCATATCCCCCCTTATTATACGTGGAGATCATATCCCCCCCTTATGTATTATACATGGAGATCATATCCCCCCTTATGTATTATACGTGGAGATCATATCCCCCCTTATGTATCCCCCCCTATTATACGTGGAGATCATATCCCCCCTTATGTATTATACATGGAGATCATATCCCCCCTTATACATGGAGATGTATTATACATGGAGATCATATCCCCCCTTATGTATTATACATGGAGATCATATCCCCCCCTTATGTATTATATGTATCCCCCCTTATACATGGAGATCATATCCCCCCTTATGTATTATACATGGAGATCATATCCCCCTTATGTTATGTATACATGGAGATCATATCCCCCTTATGTATTATACATGGAGATCATATCCCCCTTATGTATATACATGGAGATCATATCCCCCCCTTATGTATTATACATGGAGATCATATCCCCCCCTTATGTATTATACATGGAGATCATATCCCCCCTTATGTATTATACATGGAGATCATATCCCCCCTTATGTATTATACATGAGATCATATCCCCCCTTATGTATTATACATGGAGATCATATCCCCCCTTATGTATTATGCATGGAGATCATATCCCCCCTTATGTATTATAAATGGAGATCATATCCCCCTTATGTATTATGCATGGTGATCATATCCCCCCTTATGTATTATACATGGTGATCATATCCCCCTTATGTATTATACATGGAGATCATATCCCCCCTTATGTATTATACATGGAGATCATATCCCCCCTTATGTATTATACATGGAGATCATATCCCCCTTATGTATTATACATGGTGATCATATCCCCCCTTATGTATTATACATGGAGATCATATCCCCCCTTATGTATTATACGTGGAGATCATATCCCCCTTATGTATTATGCATGGAGATCATATCCCCCCTTATGTATTATAAATGGAGATCATATCCCCCTTATGTATTATGCATGGTGATCATATCCCCCCTTATGTATTATACATGGTGATCATATCCCCCTTATGTATTATACATGGAGATCATATCCCCCCCCTTATGTATTATACATGGAGATCATATCCCCCTTATGTATTATGCATGGTGATCATATCCCCCCTTATGTATTATACATGGAGATCATATCCCCCTTATGTATTATACATGGTGATCATATCCCCCCCTATGTATTACACATGGTGATCATATCCCCCCTTATGTATTATACAAGGAGATTATATCCCCCTTATGTATTATACATAGAGATCATATCCCCCCTTATGTATTATACATGGAGATCATATCCCCCTTATGTATTATACATGGAGATCATATCCCCCTTATGTATTATACATGGTGATCATATCCCCCCTTATGTATTATACATGGTGATCATATCCCCCCTTATGTATTATACATGGAGATCATATCCCCCCTTATGTATTATACATGGAGATCATATCCCCCCTTATGTATTATACATGGAGATCATATCCCCCTTATGTATTATGCATGGAGATCATATCCCCCCTTATGTATTATACATGGAGATCATATCCCCCTTATGTATTATACATGGAGATCATATCCCCCCCCCCTTATGTATTATACATGGAGATCATATCCCCCTTATGTATTATGCATGGAGATCATATCCCCCTTATGTATTATGCATGGTGATCATATCCCCCCTTATGTATTATACATGGAGATCATATCCCCCTTATGTATTAATACATGGTGATCATATCCCCCCCTATGTATTACACATGGTGATCATATCCCCCCTTATGTATTATACAAGGAGATCATATCCCCCTTATGTATTATACATAGAGATCATATCCCCCCTTATGTATTATACATGGAGATCATATCCCCCCTTATGTATTATACATGGAGATCATATCCCCCCTTATGTATTATACATGGAGATCATATCCCCCCTTATGTATTATACATGGAGATCATATCTTCCTTATGTATTATACATGGAGATCATATATCCCCCCTTATGTATTATACATGGAGATCATATCCCCCCTTATGTATTATACATGGAGATCATATCCCCCCTTATGTATTATACATGGAGATCATATCCCCCCTTATGTATTATACATGGAGATCATACCCCCCTTATGTATTATACATGGAGATCATATCCCCCCCTTATGTATTATACATGGAGATCATATCCCCCCTTATGTATTATACATGGAGATCATATCCCCCCTTATGTATTATACATGAAGATCATATCCCCCCTTATGTAATATACATGGAGATCATATCCCCCCCCCCTTATGTATTATACATGGAGATCATATCCCCCCCTTATGTATTATACATGGAGATCATATCCCCCCTTATGTATTATACATGGAGATCATATCCCCCCCCCTTATGTATTATACATGGAGATCATATCCCCCCCTTATGTATTATACATGGAGATCATATCCCCCCTTATGTAATATACATGGAGATCATATCCCCCCCCCCCCTTATGTATTATACATGGAGATCATATCCCCCCCTTATGTATTATACATGGAGATCATATCCCCCCTTATGTATTATACATGGTGATCATATCCCCCCTTATGTATTATACATGGAGATCATATCCCCCCTTATGTAATATACATGGAGATCATATTCCCCCCTTATGTATTATACATGGAGATCATATCCCCCCTTATGTATTATACATGGAGATCATATCCCCCCTTATGTATTATACATGGAGATCATATCCCCCCTTATGTATTATACATGGAGATCATATCCCCCCTTATGTATTATACATGGAGATCATACCCCCCTTATGTATTATACATGGAGATCATATCCCCCCTTATGTATTATACATGGAGATCATATCCCCCCTTATGTATTATACATGGTGATCATATCCCCCCTTATGTATTATACATGGAGATCATATCCCCCCTTATGTATTATACATGGAGATCATATCCCCCCCCTTATGTAATATACATGGATATCATATCCCCCCCCCCCTTATGTATTATACATGGAGATCATATCCCCCCCTTATGTATTATACATGGAGATCATATCCCCCCTTATGTATTATACATGGAGATCATATCCCCCCCCCTTATGTATTATACATGGAGATCATATCCCCCCCTTATGTATTATACATGGAGATCATATCCCCCCTTATGTAATATACATGGAGATCATATCCCCCCCCCCCTTATGTATTATACATGGAGATCATATCCCCCCCTTATGTATTATACATGGAGATCATATCCCCCCTTATGTATTATACATGGAGATCATATCCCCCCTTATGTATTATACATGGAGATCAATATCCCCCCTTATGTAATATACATGGAGATCATATCCCCCCCCCCTTATGTATTATACATGGTGACCATATCCCCCCTTATGTATTATACATGGAGATCATATCCCCCCTTATGTATTATACATGGAGATCATATCCCCCCTTATTATAATATACATGGAGATCATATCCCCCCCCCCCTTATGTATTATACATGGAGATCATATCCCCCCCTTATGAATTATACATTGAGATCATATCCCCCCCTTATGTATTATACATGGAGATCATATCCCCCCTTATGTATTATACATGGTGATCATATCCCCCCTTATGTATTATACATGGTGATTATATCCCCCCTTAAT